CGCGGCCCCTTCCGTCGGGGGCGCGCCCTCTTGCGCCCGCAAGCCCCGGCCTGGCGGGCTGGGGCTTGCGGGCGCAAGAGGGCGCGCCCCCGACGGAAGGGGCCGCGTCTAGAGAGAGCGGGGCAGGCGGCGCTCGCGACCTGTGATAGCGGCTGTAGCGCCGATTCCCGGGTTCCGGTGCGCGCGGGGCCTCCACACCCGCCGCTGGAGCCACCTGGCGGGGTCCCAAACCCTCTTTGGGTCTGTGTCCTCTGTCAAATGCGCCCTGCCGCGCAAGCGGCGGGCGCCTTCGAGAGGAGTCGTCCTCAGTTTTTCCTTGTCTCGGGGACATGGTTTTCTTGGCGCGGATCCGCCTGGGAGTCCTTCCTCTGGGGACCCCGAGCTGGGCGATGGGCCAGGTGGCAGCGAGGTTCACAGGCCCCTCATGGTGCCCTTGCCTTACAGTGTGCCTCCCGAGACGACTGGCGCTGTGCTCAGTCCATGCACGAGTTCTCAGCCAAGGACATCGATGGACACATGGTTAACCTGGACAAGTACCGGTGGGTACATACCTGCCTGGTGGGAGAGGCAGGGGAAAAGGTCGATGGCCCTGACCTGGCCTGACTGCACGCACCATCTCTCCTCCAGGGGCTTCGTGTGCATAGTCACCAACGTGGCCTCGCAATGAGGCAAAACGGAGGTAAACTATACTCAGCTTGTCGACCTGCACGCCAGATACGCTGAGTGTGGTTTACGGATCCTGGCCTTCCCTTGCAACCAGTTCGGGAGGCAGGTACGTACTTGGCCAGCTGTGTCCCTAGGTGTCCCTGTGTCGGGATGGTCGAGACTAGGGTGGGCGGGTGTGGGGAGATCTGGGTCGGGCCTGTGGCAGCGGGGACCAGGGGGAGTCCAGGCTTGTCCTCACTCACCCCAATGCCCCTGCTTGCCCCAGGAACCAGGGAGTAACGCGGAGATCAAGGAGTTCGCTGCTGGCTATAATGTCAAGTTCGATATGTTCAGCAAGGTCTGTGTGAACGGGGATGATGCCCACCCGCTGTGGAAGTGGATGAAAGTCCAGCCCAAGGGGAGGGGCATCTTGGGAAAGTGAGTGCAGGGCAAAGGAGGGGGCAGGGTGGTCCGCAGGGACCCCGGGGGGTCCGCAATCGCCACAGATTTCTCATGATCTCACATTTGTCTTCTAGTGCCATCAAATGGAACTTCACCAAGGTAAGAAGGGGGAAGGGGGGACAGGCTAGGACCGTGTCCAGGGCCAGCTCCTGCCCCTGGGTCCGTTTATTCAGCCACAGCTCAGTGCCCTGCCCAAAGGGACTCCAGCCCCGGCCCCAGGGGCCGCATTTCCCCCCCAGAGCTGCGGGGTCCCTGTTTTGACGCGGCCCCTTCCTGCAGTTCCTCATTGACAAGAATGGCTGCGTGGTGAAGCGGTACGGTCCCATGGAAGAGCCCCTGGTAGGTTCCTCTGCAGGGGCCCGCTGGGGGGGGGTGGGGGCCAAGGAAGAGGCCAGCGCTGACCCCCTTTTCCCCCACAGGTGATCGAGAAGGACTTGCCCTGCTACCTCTAGCTCCACAAGGATGCGCCGCCCCTGCCCCTCGGAGCCTTCTACCCGGCACCCATGACGGTCTGCCTGAAAACCAGCCTGCTGGTGGGGCAGACCCGAGAACCCGGCGTGCACCCTCTGCCGGAGGAAGGTTCCTCGGCCCGGCTCGTGGCTCGGCGCCCCCCCCCCCCCCCCCCCCCCTGGTTATCTTGTGGGAATAAAACGTACAAATTGGCCTGCTGCAAGTTCCTGCCTCCCTGGGGTGGGTTTGGGGGGTAGGCGGGGAAGCCTTTTGCCCTGGGGGCCTTCTGGTCCAGGGGCAGGAGGGTGGTGTTAGCTCCCCAGGCTCTTGTGAGTTCAGGAGTTCTCTGGCTTCCTAGGGCTGCGTCTGCGCCCGCTAATCTTAGCAGCCCCGCCTGCTGGGCACAGGCTGATCCTGTGGGAGGTGATAGGAATTACTGGCTGTGACTCATCCAGGGTATTAGCCCGCTGCTCAGGGCCTGCCTGTGGCCGGTCTTCCCCAGTGCCTAGATGGGAGGCCAAGGGGGCTGGGGCCTTGTGGCTCTGCCCACTGGAGGGACTAGGCACGTGGGGTGGGCTGAGCATCAGGCCGAGCTGGTCTGGGCACAGAGCCGTGCCAGGCAGGGCCTATGCACTAGACAGGCCTCACTGTTGGACACGGAGCCAGGGCATCCAGGCCTGCCCACGGGGCCTCATCTGGTGCGGCCGCGGGGGCGTTATCTACAGTCCCCCGCCCCAGGAAGGGGTGGGAATAGCCTGAGGCCATCAGTCCTGCAGGCCAACGCTCATCCACGGTCTGGGGGGCCTGGGAGGCATGGTCACAGCTTCCTGCCTGTAGCTGCCTGGGGCCATCCTGGCAAGGGCGCAGAGGATGGCACGGCTGGAGAGCAGTTGGGTCTGTCCTGTCCCTCCTCCCCCCCCCCCCCGCCCCAGCCCCCGCCCCCGCCAATTTCCAGTGAAGGTCAGCAGCAGAGAGATGGGGCTGGAGGGCTGCAGTAGCCAGGCTGAGAACCCCAGCCACCCTAGAGCTGCTCCCCCCTGGGTCTCCCGGCTCCTCGCCTGTCCACGTCCTGGCTGGTGGGAGACCCTTCTAACCTGAGGACCAGACCCGGGTGTGCTTCCGTGGCTTCCGGGAAGGGCCTGGCGTGCGTTCCTGCCTTCCCCAGGGCCCAGCTCTTGGCCCTCCTGTCCTGGGCTACCCCACCCACCTGAACCAACACCGTGAGGGAGCCTTGGGAATAAACCAGAGCAGGGGAACTGCTCTGGAGAGCACCACCACCCTGAGTGTCCCGGGGGGGTGTCGGGGGGGGGGGGGTTGGGTCTCCCCGGCAGGCAGGAGGCAACCAGTGACTGGCCCGAGACATAGCAGGGCCGGCACGGGTTGGGCCAAGGCAGCTGGCCTGCCACGCTGGTGCCAGGAAGACACCGTAGACAACGGCCCCTTGTAGTGTGGGTCTGTCTCCTCAGCCTGGCCCTAGACCGCTACCCTGGCCTCGGCCTCCCGCGGGTCTGGGAGAGGAGTGGGCTGGTCTCACCCGCCTGGCTCCCTCCACAGGCAACAGCCCCCTCGACCTCCTCTGAGTGGGGCCGCCGTGGGCAACCGCTAAACGTTCCTGGAGGAGACACACCCGTGCCTTCCTCTCCCCATGGTCTCTGCAGGCCGGAGAAGCAGACAATCTGGGAGGTAGTGAAAAGGCACATATATTTAAAAAAAGATCTCTTTACATATGTACACCTGCATTAATTATAAATACACATAGAAACCAGGGACCCACCCACACCGCCAGCTCCACGGCAGGTTCTGGGGCCTGGGAGAGAGGGCGGGGCAATAATTTAGGGAGCAGAGAGAGTGGGGAAGAATTGCATATATTAATGGGGGTGGGGTCTGTCCCATGGAGTCCCCCAGAGAAGGCAGGGCCCTGAGCACCTGGGGTTTCCTGAGTTTCCAGCTCTTGGGGCCACCCAGTTTTGTGGATTTCAGGGGTTTCTGGTCAGACCAGGCCCTGAGGGTGGGTGGGGTGAGGTGGGATGGGGAGCTCCTGCCTAGGCCTGGAGGGCAGGAGAGGGCAGAGGCACGGGCAGGGTGTGCCCCTCACCCCCGGGCCCTGCCCAAGCCTGGACCCCGCGACATCCTGAGTGGGACCTGCGCTGCCTGGGAGGGCCCCGAAGGGCGGGCAGCATCTTGAGGGGTCTGCCCGGTAGGGAAGGCACTACAGTGGAGGCCTCCGGAAGCTGGGGGCGGGGGGGTGGGGTGGGGGGTGGGGCGCAACAGCCCCTCCCCGGAAGTCAGCAGGGGGGCCCTGGGCCCCGGCTCACCACCCGCCCGCCACCCAGGCCGGCAGGAGAGAAGTTCGAGTCCACGGAGACGTGTGTATTGCAGATAAGTAAGTTTCCCCTCGGACGCCGGCTGTGGGCCGCTTGCCGGGCCTACGAGCT